GCCAGGGGAGTTTCTACCCATGAGGCCCTGGAAAGAAGCTATAGGGAGCCAAGAACCAGGCCTGCAGAGGAGGGGCCTAATCCTGCCGAAACCCAGGTCCCAGGCACATGACACAGGAGGTGCAGAAAAGCCTGGTTTTTGATTTTTCACAAAATCCACCCCTCTTTGATGCAGTCCCCAATCTGCCTGCGCTCCATTCCCTCCTGTGTGTACATACAGCCCTGAGCGCAGTGAGGCGCTGGTCTCAGGCAGTACCACTCAAAGCCTCCCCAATGCAGGTAACACATAAGAGGTCTGATGCTAGCAGCTGGCTTCTCTCTGCCATTCAGTTGCTTTCAACTTTTCCCGGTGCAGCCACATCTTGCAGGTTTCCAGGCTTGGTGCTTTTGTCACACTCCTTGCTTGTGAAACTGCCCTTGTGTAACGCTGCAGGGGGCTGTAAAAGCCCCCACTCCACCCAAAAGGCTACGGTCAGGACTTGAGCAACCTGCTGAAGACAGCTGGACACAAAATAGCCCTGGGTAGAGGGTAGAGAAGGATCTTAACTAGGCCCCGTCTAGCCAGCCAGCGTTGTAGCGCAGTCATTGTAATCCCAAAAGTGGTGTGACTCTTGGTTAAACTTCTAAGGGTGTGACTCATCCTCACCTGCGGGCATTAGCTAATCCACAAGCAGCCTTCCAAGATCTGGGTTGTTGCAACTGGATTTAAAAGATTAAACAAGAGCTATGACAAAGCTCTCTATAACACCAGGAAGCTGCTGCAACCGGCTTTCACAATGTGTTTACTAGGGTGCAATGCCAAGGATGGATACCGCAAGCAGGCCTACACCGTTGCATCGAGTCCAGACCAGGGGCAAGAGATTTGAGGCGTTAGAGCTGCAACTTTAACTTTGGGGCTGTCAGTTTTAATAAACCTGTTTAGTTTAGTGAGGATTAAGCCCCCATCATATGTACAAGCGCCCTAAGGCTCCAACTCATTGGATTCCTTGCACTAAAGGATTTTACCCATCCTTACACCCTTTTGCCATGCCTGTATTCTAGCAAAGTGATGCAAAATCATTAGCTGTAGAAGTAATAAGCTCGGGGAAGAGGATTTGAAGGGATAGGGTGGATTCTCCATTGAGAGCTTTCGAAATGACCCCACCAAGTGCAAGGTTTTGCATGGCCATCATTGAGAGACTTTCTGGCCTTGTGACAGAGGAAGCTAAAGCGGGGAGGTGTGTCTGAAAACTCTTCTTATTTTTATTACCTGTTTTCTAGAGAATAAAATCCATGTCTCAGCCAGCTCCCCACATTGGCCTACACCCGGGGGCTCTGAATCGGCCTAAGCCCTGTTCCTCTGATGCCCTGCATTCATGCTCAGGCTGCTCCAAGTCACTGGCATGACAATTCCTTCCATGTGTCCGGAAAAATCAGTGCAGGAGAAATTAGATGAACTTCCATGGATTTCCGTGGATTCACAAGTGAACCCAAGCGGCACCTGGTGGTACAATAGTGGCAAAGCAGGGAAAATCATGTTTTCGGGCATAAGTCAGATCCACGTTACAAATTAAAAACGATAAAAATAACTCTCGTAGAAGAAATTCCGGAGCTAAAAATAAAACATGTCAGAGGTGTTTTAAACTACCACGGTAAAAAAATCTAAAACGATAAAATCAGCTGATAACATGGATACACAGACGCTATTTAGCTAGCTTAATGGCAATTTTTGTCACGTGGACACAGGAAAAGCGTAACATGGAAACAGGAGAGCTGTCATGTGGACAAGCGCCCTATCTGACATTGCCTGGCAAAGCAGCTCATTCTGGCACATCTCAGAGGGCTGAGGGTGCATGGGGGGATAGAGGCAGAGGACAGATCCAGCCGTTTCAGCAAACTCCCTTCTGCCGACAATCTGTTCAGATCCTTCCCGCTAAGCTCCATCCCGCAGTCCTCGCAAAACTGATTCTGTTGGGATCCTCATTAGTGGAGCCAATCCAGGTTGGCAAATGGACAGCACTCACGTCCGGGCAGCAGAGCACCATTGTATGGGGGTCCCCCAGCTCCTAGGCCATGGGGAGCGTGTTCGCAGGTAGCTGGGTCCATTTTATAGCCCGGGCAGGATGACACCGCAAATATCCCTGGCCCAAAAACCCAACCGGACTTGTCCATGCAACCCAGCCAGAGACTCTCATAGTCACCCCCTCCCTGGCTCCAGCAGCGCACAGATAAAATGCGGCACCTGGCTCTAGTTACTCAGAGGACATTCGAGCAGTCCTAATCTCAGGCCTGGTGCCCCGCAGGCTGCCCATCCCCTGCGTCTCCTACAATGGCTGAAGCCGCGCCAGGAGGCTGAGATAGAAAGCATCTCATTCACCACCCCCAGGCGGGGAGCAGATGTCAGTGGTCGGCAGCACTGAGTCCTGCCAGGAGCCCGGCCACTGAGACCTGGGTGTGCAGCTGTCTCTGCCACAGACTGGTGCTGGGCCCCTGGGCATGCTCCTTCATCTTCCCTGTGCCTCTTGGAAGCCCTTCCTTTCTCCGAGTCAATTTAGACTGAATTCCTCAGGGAGGCAAATGTTTCCTGTTGTGGATTTTTGCCGCATATGGAGAGAGGCTCTCAGCCAGGGTAGGGGCTTCCCTCACCCTAAGCGTGTGCTGTACCAGACATTATACTCAACGGGGGTAAGAGGCTGAGGGAAGGTAAGCTACTCTCCATGCCTCTAGACCCCACAAGAAAGCCTCTCCGTCTTGTCTGATTTCCTGGTGCCGCTACACTAGACTGCCGGAGCCAGCTGCAGGCGCGGGGCTGCACACTCAGGGCTTGCATGCCAGGTCCCTCAGCCAGGAAGCAGCCCGCTGATGTGCACATTTCCTGCCACAGGCCAGCACTGCCTGCAGCTGAGCTGCTTCTCTCCCTCACAGGCCTTGCTACACTGCTGTGCTCTGATTCAGGCCAGTCTCTGCTTTATCTGTGCAGAGATAACACACGGCACTGACTTCCCCTGGCCTGCCCGGGGTGGTCTCGATGTGGGAGAGCAGCACGGTGCCGCCTGCTTACCTTCTGTGCATCCGGTACCATGAGCCTGGGGACCCCCTGGTGCAGCCAAGCCAGGAGGGGCCTCCAGGTTTTCCCACAGCCCCAGGGGTCACACAAGCTGGGGTGCCAAATGCCGCCCCCTTCCAGGGGGTTCCACGGCAGGGGCATTATTAAAGCCATGGATGCTGGTAGGATCGTGTCCTGCTCTCTCTCCAAGTGGCTGGGAGCTGCCCAAAGCAGTGAGCCCAGCACTTCTGCATGGAGAAAGCAACTGGGCTATTGCTGCAGCTCAGAACCAGCTGTGCAGGGTAGGGAGCTCTTAGCCCCACTCTGCTTCCAGCCGGCCAAGCCTAGATCTGTGGTTTGTGGTGACATTGAGGCCCTTGGCATGCAAGTGCCTGGCATGAGCTACATCCCCAGGGCCATGCAGACATTAGAGCAGCCTCCAGCGAGACAGTGCAGGCCTGGAGATGAGCCATGCCCTCTGGCAGCAGACATCCTCAGGCCTGGGTGTCTTGGTCAACTGCATCATACTGCAGACTACATACCCAGCTGCTGCATTCACCTCTCTGGTGCTGGGCCCAGGCCCGTTGCTTCCACCAGGCGGCAGCAGCTGAACGTTCGGTCCTGGTGCATTGCATCTCCCCAGGTATTTGCAGCCTGAAGTGGGAGAAGCAGTTTGCCGGGGTGAGAAGAAGGCTGTGAGCCTGCTGGGGCAACTCTGGGTGCTTTGCAGCAGAGCCCAGCAAGGGATGGAGGAAGCCTGGACAAAATTACCTCCCCTGCATGAGGGAACCCCCGCAGGGGTCTGGGCCTTGGAAATGGGAGCAAATTGCACCAAACACAGGCAGAAGGACCTCACCCGAGGCAGCTGGGAGAGTGTCAGAACCCCTTAGGACTGGTCAAGGGTTTCCTCTTGATTACTTCCAAAATGGATACACCCCTCAATTCCTTTCTGCTCCATATGTGAGGGGGTTTTAAGCCTTCGCCAAGGCCCTGAGTGCTGGCTGCAGCCTAGGTTGGGGATTTGGACTAGGCAGTGCCAGTGCTCCTGCTGGGGCATAAACCCTCTTCCCCTCCACTCAGGGTCAAACCCACCCTGCATTTGGGGTCAGGAAGGAAATTCTCCCTGGTCACATTGGTATAGACGGGGAAGGAGGGGTTTGCCTTCCTCTGTAGTGGGGTCACGGCCTCCTCTGGGGTGTATTAACAACCTTTAATAAAAGCCGGACACTGGCTGCCGCAGCCCCCCTGCTTTCCTGGTAGGAGCAGGCGCGATGTCTTGTGCTGCGTCAGGGGTGACAGTCGGATTAAAGGATGGATTTGTCTGGGGTGGTTCGGATGGGACTGATCCTACCTCAGGCAGAGGTCAGACTCAATGGGACCACCACAAGTCCCTTCCAGGATCCTCTTTGATCCTGTGTTTTGCCCCCCACTCCCAGGAGATGCAGCCTTCAGTCTCAGCCTAGCTCTCAAGTATAGGCTCCAAGGGGCTCCAGGCTGCAGCTCAGCTTTGCCTCCTGGCTGCATTGCCCTGTGATGGCATCAGATCTGTCCGGGCAGGAGCAGCTTTGTGATCACAGCTCCACCAACTAAGTTCACTCTCCGGGCTGTGGCTCCCTGCCACCGGTGAGTGGAAGCCTGAGCATGGTCCCATGCACTGCAAAAGGCCCCCTCACCCCAGTGCCCACCACTTCCATGTAGCTCTATGCAGATCTTCAGCCCATGCACTGGTCTCCTCTGCCCCACAGCCCATCTTGCCACTCCTGCTATCCTGTGCGGGCTCACAGCCACTCGCTGCAGGGGCTGCCCAATGCCCCATGCCCCAAGGCTGCAGGCAGGGTGGGAGCAATGCCCTGCCCTGGCCCCAGGGATTGACCAGGCCCCCTGGGCTAAGCTCCCCCCAGCCCCATTGCCCCAGGGCATGTAGCATGATCCAGCCATGCTGCAAGAGGGAGATGGGCAATAACAGCACAAGCAGGGGGTTTCAACAGCAGCTTTATTGTCTCACATCAGGCCCCTGTGGGCAGACAGGCATGGGGGCTTCTGGGCATGGGAGATTTCTGCAGCGGGGGCAGAGTCATCTGGTCCAGGGTCTCCTCCAGCCTGAGTCTGCACTCAGGGCTTTAGTCTTTCCCATGGCGGCACCGGTCTAATCCATGGTGGATGCAGTGGGTGTCATAGGCCAGTTTGGCCAAGATCTTCGTGAACTCCTCAAAGCTCAGCTTTCTGTCATTATTCATGTCAGTGTCTTTGAAGAGCATTTTGATGTACCCAGGTCTGTCCCGATCCTGGAAGTGGGAAAAACACCTGTGAATCACAGCTTCCCGTGGGAGGTCGCCTAGGATAGCATGTGCCCTCGCTCACTGGCAGCTGGCAGCTGGGGGAAGGTAGGCACCATGGGGCTGGGCATTGGTCTTCATGGCAGAGGTCAAAGGCACCTGGTTTCCTTGGGGTTGGCAACTGGGGCCTGAAACCAGAGCATAACTGGGCCCCGTCCCCTGAGAGTAAACCCCAATCTGGCCTGAACCCAGACACACGGGGAACACCCCTGCTGCCAACCTATCCCCCCACCCAGCCCACCTCTAGCTGCCACAGATGCTCTGATGAACCTGGGGGTCTTGGACTGGGCCAAAAGGGCATTTGGGTGGGAGGGAGATGCATGCAACTGTTTTTGAGATGCCAAGCAAAGATAAGTCATGTGGCCCAGGCTACATGGCACTGAGCCCCCACCCCTCTGCTATAACCCATGCACCCAGTCACTGCACCCTTGCACCCAGCCCTGCTGCCCTGCCCCAGCTGCCTGCCCCGTGCCACTCACGCAGGCTGCCAGGAAGGTGGGTGCCTGGCACTTCAGGAACTCGCTCAGGTCCTTCTGACTGAGGAAGTCATCCTTGCCCTCCCTGGCGCTGTACTGGTGGTAGAGGTTCACGATCCCTTCGAGGGCGCTTTTCAGGGTGCACCCATGGTGGTGCATGGACACTGCCGTGGAACTGTGTGTGTCCTCAGACATAGTTGGGTGCTCAGGAGACCTGGGAAGACCAGCAGGGAAAGGCACTTGAGCCTCTGGGCACCAGCCATGCCCCACGCCAGGAGCAAAGCCTGCACCCCAACCTCCCCTCCCCACACATAGGCCCATGCGGGCTCCTCCTAACTGAGCCCCTGCCCAGCCATGGTTGGAGCAAATGGCTGTTAAGCACCTGCCTGCAGTTTCACCCCAAAAGGAAAGGACTCGGTAATACTGAACATGCAGTGGTTCTCGCAGGCGCTGCATTGTACAACCCAGCCTTGCCTGGGTAATTTTAGCCTCCTCTAAGATGTGTCTCATGCTTATCCCCTCAGAGGCATTCAACCTGGCAGCTACACAATGCACCACTGCTCTGTTCTATTCCCCGCTCCTGGGGCACTAGCTGCATGGATGGTCCAGGGGTGCAAAAAGGCCTAGGGTTTGTAAGACTGCAATGCACATTACAATGATGATGTGCCAGGACCCCAGCCTCGCTGCCCCTTGCATTCCTCTGCTAATAGGAACCGTCACTTATTTGCCAAAAAAGGAACCAAAACCTCCCCGTGATTCCTCAAGAGCAAAGACCTTGTCCCACCCCCAGCCTCCGCTGCACACTCAGCTCTCTGTCCTCCAGCTACACCATGCACATGCTCAACGGGTATTAAAAAGGACATGCCAGGCACCCTTCTTTCCACTTGCAAGGCAGAGAACAAGGGTAAAAGAGCTGATTAGAAACAGACTGACCTGGGTCTGGAAAGGATTCACACAGGTGAGCAGAGGTGCTGTAATGAGCCACCAAGCCCAGCCAAGCTTTTATAGGCACCTTGGGCTCCATTTCATCAGCGATTGTGACATCCCAGGTGCATGCCACAACCTGATTCAGTCCCCCACCGGCACAGGAAATCACCAAATTAGTTCCTGATTTGCTGGAAGCGGACACTCCTCCTAGAATCACTTGATCCGCATCTCCCACGAGTTGCCAAGCAAGCCGTGATTTCCAGCTACACCCTTTCTGGGATCCCAGGACATGTTGCAGCTCTTTTAGAAACTGACATCTTGAGCACATTCCAAACCAAGTGTTGAAACCAACCCACCCACGTCTCTGGGTGTATCCAAGCAGGGAGAAGAGAGCACAGCCTCCTTGGGATGGGGGTCTTTTACTCACTGTTCCCTCAACCCCTTGCTAAAAGGGCTTGTAGTTGACTTGAGTACTTGGGTGACTCCTTTCCAGTCAGCAGTGGAAAATCTATCCGACTGCACACCGGCATCTGCTTTCATGCATTGGATTCCTCTCCCAGCTGCCCAATGCTGAGAAACTCAGGTGTGCGCTCACATATGGTATGGAAGCACACACCTGCTACCCAGTGCCCAGTGAGCTGCTGCTGGGGGCATCGGCTGAGCTGAGATCCATGCAGGATTTGGGGGGCAGGGTCTGAAAGCTTCTGAATGGGTTTTTAACCTCTTTCATTTCAAGACAAATTAAAAAACCAGCAGGCCTGCTTTTACCAAACCATCTGCAAACCGGATTACCAAACCGTGTGTGTTCTCAAATGATGCTCCAGGCAAAACTGCATGATTCTGGGGGGAAGGAGCCGTCTGCCTTTGCCATTTTCAATTAAACAGTTTCCACAGCATGGAAGTGCCTGTGTGATCTAAGACATCCACCCAAATCTCTGGCCCCAGCCAACATCCACCCACAGATTTTTACAGGTGACCAAAATCTCCCCAAGAGGGAAGAATAATTCAAATGCTTATTGTGGTGGCTGGTTCTCTGGAGACCTTTTCTATGGACCTCGCTGGTCCAAGAGGGGCTAAAGATCAGTGTTTGCTTGGCTTGTGATTCTCTTTTATTCTTCATACATGATGGTCATGCAGATTCTGGGGGATACACGACTGAGCCATGAGTTTCATCTGTGTTCCCACAACTTGGATTGGGAAAACAAAGATCTAAACCAGACAGAAACATCTCATCCAGTTCATCAGTGATTTGGCCTTTCATTGGTGAATGTTTGGTAACCTCACGCTGGTTGACTCAGTTGTTTTCTCTCCTATGTGAGTGCTCCCAAGAAGACGCTATAATAAGATATAAATGTTCATTGTAGGTTCCAGGAAGAGGGCAGGGAACAAAACCAGCCCAGGTGTAACTCAGTCCTGCTTCAGGACATTTCACTGTGCGCTGATCCCAGCACCAGGGAGCTGTTGTACCACATGGATTTGGGGCCTCCTGACTCATCCCATTGTGTCTTTGTCTTGTGCTGCAGCTGAGACAACAACGTTGGATACCTGACCCTACATCCTTGTTCCTGGGTCGGGCTTGGAAAGCAGGACCTGCCAAAACAACGCTACCCCACTTACTGCCAGTCATCCTGCCACCTTGCTGCATTTTCAGGCACAGACCCATCAGCTCCACCTCTTCTGTTGCAAGCACCTGCCCCTTTCCAAGGGCCCGATTCTCCAAACGCCAGATGCAGACTGGCATCCAGGGGTGGTAAAGGCCATCACTGCCTCTCAGAGCCATGCTCTGCACCCCAGTGCAGGGCGATCTTGTCACCAGGACTGTATGGGCCCCCCTCAAGCCTGAGTGTGAGCTATTCAGACTGTCGCTGCTTTGGGATCCCTCAAATTCCCATGTGGAACCTGGCATCATATAATGTTAGTGCTGTTCCTATTGACTTTGCCAAAGGCAGATGATGCTAAAGTTTATTGCAACTCTCTGGCCCAGTGGAAGGCAACGAGGCCTGACTGGAAGTCTCTGGTGGTTCTGACTCTCCAATCAGGAAAGGACTGGAGACAGGGGATGCTCCCACATGGGCTGTGGGAAATGATGGAAAGATGCGTCAGATGACATTAACCCTTCAGGAAACCTGGACACTCGCCCACCGCTGCACCAAGGGAGCACAGCCAGTAGCATATCCCAGTAGTGTGTTGGATGGACAAAGCAGAGGTCTATTTTGACTGTGCAGTCAGACATTTTCCATGGGAAGATCTCTCTTGGCCAACCCTCCCCAGCCCCCACTTCTCTTGCGCCTCATCCCCAGCTTCCCCTCACCGTGACAACCTTCCTTCCCAGCCCAAATTGTCCTTGTGTTTGTGCAATTTTGGGAGTAGTTGTGCTGCTTGTGAAGTGGGTTTTTAGAGAGCAAGCAGAACAGGCTGCCAGGCTCCACACATGGGATGCAGCTTTCTTGTGACCAGCTGGGGTTGATCTTCTATCCTTGCCCATGGACCTTCACAGCTCTGGGGTCCATCAGCCCCCAGTTTCCCTTGGGATGGCATCCCAGGCTCAGATGACTCTCAGAACATGAATCTCCTCAGAACAGAGAGGCTTGTTTGCAGTTAAAATTAATTACCTCTGGCAAAAAGCCTTTGTTTTCTCCTGACTTCATGCCTTCTGGAAGCCAGAGAGGACAAGCGTGTTGTGACCTGCCAATCTGTCACCCGAAGCAATCACAGATGATATGTTTATTGCACAAGCCGAATGTTAATTGCCTTTAATGAGCAAATATAATGATCCAAATTTGCACATCTACCTAACAATACCTCCTCCTCACCTCTGACACCGCTTGTTCTTTAACCACCCCATTTGAACCTGGACTAGTGCATCCCTTTTAGGGAGCTCTCAGTTCCCAATTGACAAGAGATGGGACCTTCATGGCTGGAGGAATCTTCCACGCTGGCTGGCACACCAGCAGAGACCCACCTGCTGGCTTCTCCTGCATTGGTTTGAGCCGCTTATGCAGGCACCCTGGGGTCCGCTCATACCTGGGACTCCCACCTGCTGCCACGATGAGCTTGCTGATGTACAGCCTGCCCCTCCACGGGCTCTTGGGTCCCTGAGTGTCTTTCCCTTACCAAGAACCATCACGTGGGGCGCTTATAGACTGTATAAAGGAAGCCCCATGTGCTAGGCTAGAAATGAAATCCAGGGGGAATATGAACCCTCTCTTTCTAAGGTAGGAGCCCAATGCCTGCTTTTGGGGGCCAGGATCCCCCCAGCTCCTCTCGGGGTGCAACAGCTCCACTGCCCCTGCCATGCACATGTCTGCACTGTGGGAAGGGGAAGGCAATAAGAGCACAAGCAGGGGGTGGGTTTCAACAGCAGCTTTATTGTCTCGCATCAGGCCCCTGTGGGCAGACAGGCACGGGGCCCTCTGAGCATGGGAGATTTCTGCAGGGGGGGCAGAGTCATTGGGTCCAGGGTCTCATCCAGGCCAAGGCACCACTTGAGGCTTTAGTCTTGGTCTGGCCCGCAGCGGTCATCTCCGTGGCTGATGCGGTGGGCGTCGTCGGTCAGCATGGCCAGGATCCTAGTGAACTCTTCAAAGCTCAGCACCTTGTCTCTATTTTTGTCAGTCTTGTTGAAGAGACTGTTGATGTACCCGGGTTTGTCCCGATTCTGGAAGTGGGAAAAGTGCCATGAGTCACAGCTCCCCATGGGGGGGACGCCTAGACGAGTGCGTGCCCTCCCTCGCTGGTGGCTGGTGGCTGGGGAAAGTTGGTACCGCGGAGCTGGGCAGGGCTCTGCATGGCTGAGGTCAAAGGCACCTGGTTTCCTTGGGGTTGGCAACTGGGGCCTAAAACCAGAGCATAACTCTGCCCTGTCCCTGTGAGAGCCAACCCCACCCTGGCCTGAACCCAGACACATGGGGGGCACCCCTGCTGCCAGCCTATCCCCCCACCCAGCCCACCTCCAGCTGCCACAGATGCTCTGATGAACCCGGGGGTCTTGGACTGAGCCAAAAGGGCTTTTGGTTGGGAGGAAGGTGCATGCAGCTATTCCTGAGATGCCAAGCAAAATCAAGCCGCGTGGCCCAGACTAAGTGGCACTAAGCCCCCACCCCTCTGCTATAGCCCATTATAGCAGGGCTGGCAGCACTCGAGGCATGACCCAGAGCCCTGTGGCCATGCCCCAGCCCTCTGCCCCATGCCACTCACGCAGGCTTCCAGGAAGGTGGGTGCCTCTCTGTTCAGGAACAACTTCAGCTCCTGTTGGTCGAGGGTGTCGTTCCTGTTCGCACTGCTGCTGTATCTGTGGTAAATTCTCACGATCTCTTCGAGGGCGGTCTGCAGGGTACAGTTGGGGTCACACCCAGATGCAGGCCTGGGGTCGGGCCTGGGCACGGGTATAGTCACAGGCGATTCAGACATGGCTGGATGCTCGGGAGACCTGGAAAGATGAGCAGAGAAAGGAACTAGAGCATGTGAGGCATCTGAGCCTCAAGGTACCAGCCATGTCCCAGGGAAGCTGCAAAGCAGTTCCTGGCCCACACAGTCGTCGATGAAATCGGAGAAGGCAGAGCTTGCACCCCCAACCTCCCCTCCCCATGCATAGGCCCACACGGGCCATGGCCAATGGCTATTAAGCATCTGCCTGTAGTTTTGCCCCAAGAAGAAAAGACTTGATAGCAGTAAACCTGCCACAGGTCTCGCAGGTGCTGCACTGCATAGCCCTGCCCCACCCCTGGTAATTTCAACCTCCTCTGAGACATTGTTCATGCTTATCCCCTCTGAGGCATTCGACCTGGCAGCTACACAAAGCACCACCGCTGTGCTCCATTCCCCGCTCCTGGAGCACTAGTCGCGGACGGTCCGGTGGTGGAGGGCTGGGCTTTATTCCCACTCTGCCACATACTCTCTGGCTCACCTTGGCCCCATCCCTTCATCTTCCTGGGCCTTAATCCTCTACCTGTGAAACAGAGATGAGACGCTTTTCCCTGCCTTGTTTAGTTTGGTGGTGAGCCCTTGGCGACAGCCCTGTCTTTTATTATGAGAACAGCCCGGCATCATAGGACCTGTGGGTTTTATGACTGCAATGCACATTACAATGATGATGTGCCAGGACCCCAGCCTCGCTGCCCAGCCTTGCATTCCTCTGGACAGGAACCGTCACTTATTTGCCATGAAAGGAAACAGAGCCTCCCTGTGATTCCTCAGCAGCAAAGAGCCTTTCCCACCCCCAGCCTCCACTGCACGCTCTGCTCTCTGTCCTCCAGCTCAACCATGCGCAGGCTCAACGGGTATTAAAAAGGATGTGCCGGGCACCCTTCTTTCCACCTGCAAGGCAGAGAACAAGGGTAAAAGAGCTGATTAGAAACAGACTGACCTTGGTATGGGAAGGATTCACACAGGTGAGCAGAGATGCTGTAATGAGCCACCAAGCCCAGCCTAGCTTTTATAGGCACCTTGGGCTCCATTTCATCAGCGATTGTGACACCTCAGATGCATGAAGCAACCTGATTCAGTCACTCACCGCACAAGAAATCACCAAAATAGTTCCTGATTTGCTAGTAGTGGACACTCCTCCCAGAATCGCTTGTTCTGCATCTCCTATAAGTGGGCTGTGATTTCCAGCCACACCCTTTCTGGGATCCCAGGACATGTTGTAGCTCTTTTAGAAACTGATATCTTGAGCATGTTCCAACCCAAGTGTTGAAACCAACCCACCCACGTCTCCAGGTGTATCAGAGCAGGGAGGGGAGGGCACGGTCTCCTTGGGATAGAATCACAGAATCATAGAAAATGAGGGTGGGAAGGGACCTCAGGAGGTCACATCTAATCCAACCCCCGGCTCAAAGCAGGGTCATCCCCAACTAGATCATTCCAGCCAGGATTTGTTGAGCCAGGCCTTAAAAATCTCCAAGGATGGAGATTTCACCACCTCTCTAGATAACCCATTCCAGTGCTTCGTAATATCCAACCTAAACGTCTCTTGCCGCAACTTGAGCCCGTTGCTCCTTGTTCTGTCATCTGCCACCACTGAGAACAGTTCAGCTCCATCCTCTTTGGACCCACCCTGCAGGGAGTTGAAGGCTGCTATCAGGATGGGGGTTCTTTACTCGAGTTTCTCTCAACCCCTTGGTAAAACGTCCCGTAGTTGAGCTGAGTGGTTGGATGACTCTTTCCAACCAGCAGTGTCTGTACTTGTGTGCTCAGTGTGCACCATTCACAGAGCTGATGATTTTTCCCAGGGGCACTTCCACAGTCTGCTAAAATGTCTTGAATTCTGCTTCAGCATCAGTAGAGGCCAGAGGTCCTGGGTGCATGCTCCTAGAGAACCATAGCATCATAGAGGGTTGGAAGAGACCTCAGGAGGTCACATCTAGACCAACCCCCTGCTCAAAGCAGGCCCAGCCCCAACTACATCATCCCAGCCTAGGCTTTGTCTAGCCAGGTTTCCAAAACCTCCAAGGATGGAGACTCCATCACCTCTCTGAGTAACCTGCTCCAGTGCTTCATCACTCTCCTAGTTTCATAGTTTCATAGTAGCTAGGGTCAGGAGGGACCTGAACAGATCATCTAGCCTGACCCCCTGCCACAGGCAGGAATGAATGCTGGGTTCACAAGACCCCAGACAGGTGATCGTCCAACCTCCTCTTGAATTTGCCCAAGGTAGGGGCGAGGACCACCTCCCTGGGAAGTTGGTTCCAGAGTTGGTTCCTAGTGAGAAAGTTTTTCCTAACATCCAACCTAACTTTCCCTGCAGCAGCTGGAGCCCATTGCCCCTTGTTCTGTCATCTGCCACCACTGAGAGCAGTCCAGCTCCATCCTCTCTGAAATCAAAGAATGCAAAGGAATTAATGTAGTCGTGATGGACATAGGAATGGGGCCGGAAGGCATCATCCCACCTAGCCCCTCACTGGCGCAGGCAGCTGCATGGCATAAGCCCACATCACCAGGCAGGATCTTCTCCAGCTCTATTCTAAAGTAGATTATTACTGGCTGCATCCTACGCCCAGTGAGGTCTGTTGTCCCCACTGCTCTCATGGGAAGGCAGTTCCCAAACCAGATTGCTCTAACAGCCAGGAACCTTCTCATCTCCAGCCTGAACTTCTTCCTGGCCCAGTAACCCCCTTTTGTGCTTGGGCTACCAGCTTTCTTTTGCTAATACAGCTCGTCCTTCTCCCAGGGGGTTACCCCCTTCCTCTACTTAATAGAGAGGAATTCTCTTTCTCAGCCTACCTTTGGTAGCCTAAGCAAGCTGCAGTTTTCCTGACACCTCTCCTGTGACAGGCTCTCCCTCTCATGCCCTGCAAAGAACATCCACCCTATTGCACACCAGCATCTGCTTTCATGCATTGGATTCCTCTTCCACCTGCCCAATGCTCAGAAACTCACGTGTGCACTCACATTGGGTGCAAAACGGCATGATTCAGAGGGGAAAGGAGCTGTCTGTCTTTGCAATCTTCGGTTTGACAGTTCCTACAGTTCTGTTTTTCTAGTATGGAAGTGCCTGTCTGATTTAAGACATCCACCCAAATTTCTGGCTAGAGCCAACAATCACCAACACATTTTTACAGGTGACCAAAATCTCCCCAAGAGAGAAGAATAATTCAAATGCTTATTGCAGTGGCTGGTTCTCTGAAGACCTTTTCTATGGACCTTGCTGGTCCAAGAGGAACTAAAGATCAACGTCCTGTTTGTTTGGCCTTTTGATTCTCCTTAATTCTTCATACATGATGGTGACACGTGATACTTTTGGATTAGATTTGTGGTTAAGACTGAGACTGATTGATCAGTGAGACCATTGCCATCACAACTGGAAAGCTTTATTAGGATATGTGATAACAAAAATGTATTGGTACTTATAAGGACAATGCTTGTGTAGCCTTGAGTTCAGGAAGGACAGGTCTGCTGGCTAGGCCTCTGCTCTCCTGTGGACTCTTGCCAAGTTGTTTT